TACAACAAAAAGAATGCCAAATACCTCATTGGTAATTTAAAAATTGATTACAAGTCGAACTGATGATTTGGATACGTAGTTTAAACAAAACACATTATGACATTTCATTTGTTTCTTTTTCTTCCGAATGTGTCACCTGTCTGCAGCCCCTCATGCTAAGTTCCCTCCTCTTCTTCCACTTGAGCTGGACATAGAAGCTGCTGTTTTGCATCAAAGTGATTTAGATTCTCCAGGCAACAGTGAGAAGCCTCATTCTTACCGATGTAATTTGGAGCTGCGAAGTTATTTCGGCATAGTAACAGGGATGTTCACATTTCATTGGCCCTGGAGACTAAAGCCTGCCTCCCGCTCGGAGCCATTGGCTGGCTGCGTCCTCTGTCCAAAGCAACCTCAGGCCTTGCCCCCACCCACTGCCACTTCCCTCTCACAGCATCCGGTATCTCTACCCCCTCCGACGATGCCCTACCCCCTTCCCTGCGTTGGGCAATAGGGACTTCTGCTGGTTTACAGACCTAGCAGCCTTATTTGAGTGGGGAGGCCAGAGCCTGATTCTTATGCTCAGCCATTCGATAACTGCACCTTCTGTCTACAGCTTCTCAGGTGCCACTTTGGCTGGCTCATTTCACATGGCATTGGGGGTTACTACATAGTAACGGTTCACCATAAGCTGAAGAGGCCACAGTCCAACTTCTCCTGCAGTCATTGGCTAACTATTTGTCTGTAGCTACCGCAGGTTAGACCCTGCCTCTCCTACTCAGCACATAGCAACAGGGGCTTCTCCTTAGTAACAGGCTGCTGCCTCATCTCATTGGCCCCCAGGAACTAGACCCCACCTCTCTTACGCAGCCATTGGCCCGCTGTACCATTTATCTACAACCGGCAGACTTGGTCTAGAGCTCAAATTGCTGGCTTCTGTTAACTCTTCCACCACCAGTGCTCATCGAGCTGGCCCTTGAACTTGGTCATTTGTTATCTAATCCACCATCAATGACTCTCTTGTCAAAATCTAAACTCCGGGCCCCTTTTAACATTTCCACCACCTCTGACCAATCTCTAACCCCGTCGAATATTGTTCTAGTCTGACTTAGAGCTCTGATCACTCTTCTACCATCAGTGCTTTTCTGGCATGGTTTAGTACTCAACCTTCAATTAATCATTCCTCCATCAATGCCCCTTGGATCTGGAGCTTCAACCCAGGTCTGTTAAATTTTCCACCATCAGTGTATACTAGGACTGATCTCAAACGTGACCTCTGTGAACCCTTCCAACATTAATGACCTTGATAAAGCCTACCTGATAAAGACCACCAGGGTCACATCCATAGTCTGACATTAATGGGCTTATTAACTTGCTGCAGCAAGGGAGACCATACACCATGACTGTGGGGGATCTCACAAAAGTCAAGTTGGGGTGGCCAACTTACTCAAGTTTGTGACTTTCCTGGTTTCAGCAATGACTGTCCCTTGTCCCAGTAAATCCCTCAGTCTTGGGCAAGCAGGGATGGTCGATCACTTTAGTCTTGGCAAACAAAGGAGGAAATGGGATTACTATAGGGTTTTGGGGAAGAGTTGAGTTTAGTTAAAATTTAAATAAGGCGTGGCGCCTGGGTGGCTCAGTCAGTTAAGCTACTGCCTTTGGCTCAGGTCATGATCCCAGGGTCGTGGGATCGAGCCCTGAATCGGGCTTCCTGCTGGGCGGGGGTCTTGCTTCTCCCGCTCCCTCTGCCACTCACACTGCTTGTGCTCTCCTGCTCTCCCTCTAAATAAATAAAATCTTTAAATAGAAAATAAATTTAAATGAGGGACGCCTGGGTGTCTCAGTCGGTCAAGTGTCTGCCTTCAGCTCAGGTCATGATCCCAGGGTCCTGGGATCAAGCCCCATGTCAGGCTCTCCGCTCAGCGGGGAGCCTGCTTCTCTCTCCGCCTGCCACTCCCCCTGCTTGTGCGCGCGCTCTCTCTCTCTCTCTGACAATTAAATAAATAAAACCTTAAAAAAAATAAAATTTAAATGAAGCAGGGTTTTGATTAGCCCAAAGCAAAGCAAAGCAAGTTGGTATATAAAAGAGTCAATGTTAAGTCTGGACTGTAAAGTGGATTCAGGGGCCTTTTTATTTAGAAACACTAAAGTAAAAATGGATGGGACATGTTCACTCCAGATGCCCCTTATCTGAGCCTCTGAACCTGGGCTGGAAATTGAGACTGCTCCTCTATGTCAAAGTGACTTGGGTCCTCCAGGCAGAGTAGGATGTTTTATTCTTATTGATATAATTTCAAATAGCAAAGTTTCTGATAGTCTATGATTTTAGAGAAGTTTTCATAGCAGGGTGAGGCACCTCGAAGTGTAAAATTTAAGGGGGCACCAAAAACACACAGTAATCAAGATAAATAACATTTAGTGTAATAAAAATATTTTATTTTATTTTAAAAAATACTTTATTTATTTATTTGACACAGAGAGAGAGAGAGCACAAGCAGGGGGAGCGGCAGGCAGAGGGAGAGGGAGAAGCAGGCTCCCCTCTGAGCAGGACTCAATCCCAGACCCTAGGATCACGACCTGAGTCAAAGGCAGACACTTAACAACTGAGCCAGCCAGGTGCCCCAGGGCAATGTTTTCAAAAGTCCAAATTAATGCAAAAATCCATGATGAACAAAATACCGAAACTTTAAATGCTTGTATTGTTAATCTATTGCTGCACAGCCAATTACTCTTAAACGTAAAGGTTGAAACAACAAACATTTATTCTCTCACAGTGTCTGTGAGGTTAAGAACTTGGGAGAGGCTTGGCTTAAAGATTCTGTTTCAGGGTCTCTAACTGATGCTATAGTTAAGTTGTTGCCTGGGGCTGTAGTCAGCTGAGGCTGGAGGTTGGCTCATTCATATGGCTACAGGCTAGAGGCCTCAGATCCTCACTGGCTATTGGCAGGTGTGCTTGGCAGATGGGCCTCTCCAAAGGCTGCCTGCCTGAGTGTCATTACGACATAGCAGCTGGCTTCTCCCAAAGTGAGTGATATGAGAGATGAAGAGAGACGGAGAGAGAGAGAATAAGATGGAAGCCTCTGTCTTTTATAATCTGTTCTTTGAAGTGACAGACCATCACTCTGACCTGGGACCCTGGGCCCCCATTAACTATTCCATGTCTATATCTTAAGAAAATATGAACTTTTCAACATCATCAATCTCCCTGGTTTAATCTAAAAACATCTGTTAATGATTTCGCCAGAAATCACCATCTTGTTTTACTGACCATAAGCCGAGCCTTGTGAGCAATCTTCTGCCATGAATGAACTTGTACCTTTGATGGTCCTCAGGTCCAGTTCTTGATCTTGGGCCTCTGTTGTTCTTCAGACATCATTTCCCCTCTGGTTTGAACTGGAACCCAGTCATCTGCAACATATGTCTGTTTTGGAAGTCTAATCCAAAGGACATTGATGGTAGAAAAGTTAACCATGGTCCAATAGTTGAGATCTAGACCAGAGAGGCATTGATAGTGGAAAATCAACAAATGCCTACTCTCTCAGTCTATAAAGAAAAGGGTACATATGGTAAAAGAGTTAGCAGCATCTTGGATTCATGGTTAAAATACAGAGGCACTGATGATGAAATCATTAATAGAGCACATGAATTCAGATCAGAAGAGTGCAACGAAGTGTTGGTAGAGTTAAGAAAGACCCAGGTTTGAGATCAGCCCAAGAGGCATTGATGGTAGAAGTTAGCACAGTCCAGGATTTGAGATGTTGCCCAAAAGTCAACACAAGAATGTTTTGGAAATTTCTGTAGAAGTGTGTGAGCTACAATAGTGTTCTCACATTTGCCACTCTTCCACTCAATTCACAAATACTGAGAGGGTGACACTCTAACTCTCCAGATTGTTGTGCTGAGACCCAGAGAGAGGGTCTGAATGTTCTCAGGGGACCCAGCAATCTATGCCCAAGCTTAGCTAGGGTCTACCTGTTGTGTTTGAAATGCCATCAGCAGGGAAAAAAGCCCTCTACCTCTTGTCAGAGAAGGCCTGCAGGAGGGATATATGTAAGAGTAGGTTTTATATATATATATATATATGTAATTTATATATATATATGTAAGAGTAGGTTTAGGTTAGGAGTTCAGAGGTGAAGAACACCTAGAATTCTCTCTTCTCTCCCAAGAGTACGCAGTAGTTCCTAAATTCCCATAAAAGAGAGGTCAAGTGGCTGCAAACTGGTTGACAGGAGGAGTTAGGGGCGTATCTCGGAGATGTATTTTCAGCGAAAGTATGTTTACAATGTTTTCTGAATATTTTCCTATTGGCAGTTTGCTTAGAAATATTAGTTGTCCAGGGCGCCTGGGTGGCTCAGATGGTTAAGCGTCTGCCTTCGGCTCAGGTCATGATCTCAGGGTCCTGGGATTGAGTCCCGCATCGGGCTCCCTGCTCCTTGGGGGCCTGCTTCTCCCTCTGCCTCTCTCTCTCGCTCTGTCTCTCATGAATAAAAAAAAAAAAAAATCTTAAAAAAAAGAAATATTTGTTGTCCATATCAAAGGTTATTATTATTTTTTTTTTAAATTTTATTTATTTATTCATGAGAGAGAGAGAGAGAGAGAGAGAAGCAGGCTCCCAAGGAGCAGGGAGCCCGATGCGGGACTCGATCCCAGGACCTTGGGATCATGACCTGAGCCGAAGGCAGACGCTTAACCATCTGAGCCACCCAGGCGCCCGTCAAAGGTTATTATTATTATTGTTTCTAGCCACTATCATTTTAGTGGGGTAATGAAGATTGAGGGGGTTTCAATTCCCCTCTCTACCAATTCCAGCACTTCAAAACAACGTATCACTATGACTCCTCCCCACTCCTCTCTAGTGGTATCACCCAGGAGGGGATCAACAATAACCTGACTTTCCCCACCTCTTCCCAATGGTATCTCCAAAGAGAGGACTGTACCACACTGACTCCTTCCCCCTCTTGCCCAGTGGTATCGGCCAGGAGAGGGACTGTACCATTCTAATTTCTCCTTTCCTCCGAGTGACATCTCGAGGAAACTCATCCTGGTTTTTCCCCTTCTCCCCAGTGGTATCTCCCTTAAAGATCTGGACACATCTCCCCTGCCCCCGGCACCTCTGCTTCTGTAAACTTTGCACAGACCTATAGAACCCAGTTCCAAAGACCAACTCCTCCCGGAATGCTTGCCCTCCGGTTTCTACCCCTGACCAACGCCCCCCGCCCCCGCCTTCGGTGGAACAGCCCACTGTACGGAACGGGCGCTAAGATGGCGGCCTCCATGGAGGAAAGCCTCGGCACAGCCATGCTCCTCGCCCAACAACGCCACTCATGGACAAAGTCTCTGCAGATCCCTAACTGCACCTTGCTCAGAGTGAGTAGACCACAGCATCACAGCCCTTACGATGCGTGCGAGACCAGCACCCCCAGGAGGGGCACCGTCGGGGTGAGGACAGGAAACGGAAGTGGCCCTCAGAGGACGTTTAAGTCTTGTTGGCGCGGGGCGCTAAAGCGAGTGCACGCGGTTTTGTGGCGTGACAGTCATCAGTGATTTTGAGGTGATGGCTTTGTTGGCTTTGGGGAATGACGAATTGTCAGTTTGTAAGGTCCGTTGGTGGGGAGTTGAAGAATCTGGTGAATGGGAATCTGTGGAGGTCAGGGATGGGGGCTTCTGGGGTAGTCAGTTTTTAGATTCCTTGCTGCGTCTTGTTTTCAAATCTTAATAGAGTGTGTTTAGATTTTTTCCTTATCAGTCTCCCCAGAGGTATGCTAATCTTACTAGTCTTTCCAAAGAACCAACTTTTGGCCTTGTGGATCCTCTCTGATGTACCTTTGTTTTCTATTTCCTTGATTTCTGCTCTTACCTGTACCATTTTCTCTTTAACTTTTTAAATTGGATGTTAATTCATTAATGTTCAGCCTTTCTTCTTTGTTAAAAACCATTTAGAACATAAATTTCTTTTTAAGAATCTCTTTAGCTGCATTCCACAAAATTTTACATACACCATCTTATTATTATTGAGCTTTGTGTTTCTTTTTTTATTATTTATATTACTTTGATATGATGCTTTTTGGGAGAGTTGACATTTTTATCACATCTTATCCAAGGACATGGTATATCTGTGTGACTATTTTATATTTGTCAATCTTTTAAATTGTAGAAGTCCAACTCCTTAAATATATTTTATGTATTTCTTGCTGTCATTAGTAATGGGTTTTTCCCCGTTTTCATATGATCATTGCTATTATAGAGGAAAAACTCTCTGCTCTTATAATTTTATCTGGTATCCAGCCCCTTTTCAAATTGCCCTATGAATGCTAGTAGTGTCTGGTTTTTCTATGTATAAAATCATATCATTGGCAAAGAAAGCCACATTGCCAATTTCCTTGCAATATCCATTCTGATTGTTTCATCTTCCATAGTGTGAGCTAGAGCCAGCAAAACAATTTTGAGTTATATTAGACATCCCTATCTTGTTGGTAATTTTAATGGCAATAGCTTCATCGATTTACTTTTTAGCATAGTAGTTCAGGGCTATGTTTTGTAAATTATTTTTGTGATATTTAAGTGATTTACATCTTCCCTAATTTTAGTTGGAGTTGTATTCATAATGTCTCCTGAATTGTGTCAAATGCTTTTCTGGTGTAAGTTAATAGCAGCACCCACCCCCGTTTGTTGATTAATAAATATTATTAATGTTGAACCATCTTCTGGAAAGAAGAGGCCAAGAGCTTCCTGTAGAAGAATTCAAGAGGGAGTTTTCACCCTAAAATGGCAAAATAATTAAAGAGGGCAGAAGAGATACCTTTCATTCAGATTACCAGGTTTCCAGGTTTCCTGCCTCCACAGTCACCCGGCAGGTGCCCATGGACAGGTCCTTCCTCTGTCCACCCCATAGGGCTTTAGCACCATTCGTTGCCCCAATTCTGTCCTCCCTGCCAACCCAGATCCACCTTGAACCTAGAATTGAGGACTAGGCTGGCTAGGTAGGGTGTGAAGCTCCCTGTGGAGCCACCCCGGAGTAAAACACTCCGAGGTCATTAATTTGACTTCAGATATCATGATTGTTTCCATAATCCACCCTAACACTCAGAGTGGGGGTTGCTGAACTTTGTGGTGTAAATGTGGAATGACACTGATGACATGGATACTGTCCTTTTAGGATTTCTTGGTGTCTCTGTGGAGCTGTTGAGGTTTCTCCTTACTGGAGGCTGTGGGATCTTCCATTCATTCTGACCGCAGCCCATATACCGACTCCCCTCCAGCTTTGGAAGGTGGGCTGAGACCCAGGGTGAACATGCCAGCTAATAGGAAATCACCCCAGAGGTTCCCTGCCCTGGTTCCAGGACAGCCTGGCAGATCATTTGAGGTAAGGAGGAGGAGCCTACTTTAAAAGTTTTTTCTTTTATTTCTTTTCTTTCTTTCTTTATTTAAAGATTTTATTTATTTATTTGACAGAGAGAGATAGCGAGAGCAGGAACACAAGCAGGGGGAGCGGGAGAGGGAGAAGCAGGCTTCCCACTGAGCAGGGAGCCCGATGCGGGTCTCGATCCCAGGACCCTGGGATCATGACCCGAGCCGAAGGCAGACGCTTAACGACTGAGCCACCCAGGCGCCCCTCTTTTATTTTTTTAAGATAAATTTTAATTTGGAGATAATTGTAGATTCGAATGCAATGTACCATTTACCCAGTTTCCTCCAACGGGAACATCATGCAAAACCTTGGTACAGTATCACAACCAGGATATTGACATAGGGAACATTTCCAACATGACAAGGACCCCTCATCTTGCCTCTTAATGGACGCAACCACTTCCCTCCTCCCCTGCTCCCTCCTTAACTCCTGGCCATCAGTAATCTATAATTTTGTCATTTCACGCATGACATATAAACGGAATAATACAGTGTATAATCTTTTGGGACTGGCTTTTTTTTACGCAGCGTAATTCTCTGGAGATTCATGCAGATTGTTGAGTATATGACTAGCTTGTTCCTTTTTATTGCTGAACAGTATTCCATGGTATTAATGTACCACAGTTTGCTTAACCAGCCTCTTGTTGAAGGACAATCTTGGCTGTTTCCAGTTTTTGGCTATTATGAATAAAGATGCTATGATTGTGTAAGGATTTTGTATGAGATGAATGCACATGAATGCAATTGCTGGTTTGTATGTTAAGTGCATTTCAAACATTAATTAATTTTTTTAGTACAGCTTTAGATTTATAGAATAATTGAGAAAATGGTACATATAGTTCCATATACCACTCTATATCCCCCCATAGTTTCCCCATGATTAATGTCTTGCATTAGTGTAGTACATTTATTACAATTAACCAATACGGATACCCTATTATTAATTATATTCTACAGTTTATAGTAAGGTTCATTCTTTGTGTTGCACCTTCTTAGGCTTTGACAAATGCATAATGACACATACCTGCCATTACGGTTTCATACAGAACAGTTTCATCTATGCCTTGGCTGTTCATCCTTTCTCTCCCTATGCTTGAACCTCTGGCAACCATGGTTTTTTTTTTTTCAGTTGTCTCTATAGTTTTACCTCTCTTAAGATGTCATATGGTTGGAATCATAGTCTGTAGCCTTTTCAGATTAGCTTCTTTCACTTAGCAGTTTGCATTTCAGCTTCCTCCATGTCTTTTCATGGCTTTATAGCTTATCTGTCTTTATCACTGAATAATATTCCATTGTATGGATGTACCACAATTTGCTTATCCATTCACCTTTTGAAGGACATCTTAGTTGTTCCCACTTTTTGGCAATTATGAATAAAGCTGCTGTGAACATTTATATATAGGTTTTTGTATGGACATACGTTTTCAGTTCACGTGGGTAGATAAGTAGGAGTGCAATTGTGGGTCATCTGGTAAGACTGGCTTTGCAAGAAACTGCCGAACTGTCTTCCACAGTTCTTCACCATTTTGCATTCAGACCAGCAATGAATGGGAACATCCTGTTGCTCCCTATCCTCGTCAGCATTTGGTATTGTTGGGTTTTTGGATTTTAACCATTCTAATAGGTGTATAGTGGTATCTCGTTGTTTTGATTTATAATTCCCTAATGAAAAATGATGTTGAACATAGTTGTACATGTTCATTTGCCATCTGTGTATTTTCTTTGGTCAGCTGTCTATTCAGATCTTTTGTCCTTTTTTTTAAGATTTATTTATTTATTTGAGAGGGGCGTCTGGGTGGCTTAATTGGTTGGGTGTCTGCCTTTGGCTCAGGTCATGATCTCAGGGTTCTGGGATCGCACCCTGTGTCAGGCTCCCTGGTCAGTGGGGAGTCTGCTTCTCCCTCTCCCTCTGCCCCTCCACCCTGCTTGTGTGCTCTCTCTCAAATAAATAAATAAATAAAATCTTCAAAAAATAAGATTTTTTCTTTGAGAGAGAGAGTGCGTGCGCGTGTGCATACATGCACGCAAGTGAGCAAGTGGCGGGGGTAGGGAGGAGCGGAACAAGCAGACTCACACTGAGCATGGAGCCTGACTTGGGGCTTGATCTCACGACCCTGAGAATATGACCTGAGCTGAAAGCAAGAGTCAGATGCTTAACCGACTGAGCTACCCAGGCGCCCCGGGTGTATTTCCTTTCTGTTTGTTCCACTGATATATTTGTCTATTCTTTCACCAATACCATGCTTTTTTTTTTTTTTTTTAAGATTTTACTTATTTATTTGTTAGAGAGAGAGCACAAGCAGGGGGAGCCGCAGGTGAGGGAGAAGCAGACTCCCTGCCGAGCAGGGAGCCCCATGCGGGACTCCATTCCAGGACCCTGGGATCATGATCTGAGCTGAAGGCAGACGCTTAACGACTGAGCCACCCAGGCGCCCCCTCCATGACTTACTTTATAACTGGAAGTTTGTATCTTTTGACTCCCTTCACCCATTTTGCCTAACTCTTACCCCCACATCTGGCAACCACCAATCTATTCTCTGTACTGTGAGCTTGGTTTTTTTTTGTTGTTGTTGTTGTCGTCGTCATTGTTTTTATTTATTTATTTATTTATTTTTAAAAGATTTTATTTCTTTATTTGACAGAGAGAGACACAGCGAGAGAGGGAACACAAGCAGGGGGAATGGGAGAGGGAGAAGCAGGCCTCCTGCTGAGCAGGGAGCCTGATGTGGGGCTCGATCCCAGGACCCTGGGATCATGACCTGAGCTGAAGGCAGATGCTTAACAACTGAGCCACCCAGGTGCCCCATCGTCGTTGTTTTTAGATCCCACATATAAGTGAGATCATATAGTATTTGTCTTTCTCTGACTTATTTCCCTTAGCATAATGCCTTCAAGGTCCATCCATATTCTTGCAAATAGCAAGATTTCCCCGTTCTTTTATGGTTGAATAATATTCTATTGTGTGTGTATACACACACACACACACACACACACACCATATTTTCTCTATCCATTCATCTGTTGATGGACACTTAGGTTGTTTCCACATCTTGGCTATTGCAAATAATGTGGCAATGAACATGGGGTGCATATATTTCTTTGTTAGTTTTTTTTTCCTTTGGATAAATACTCAGAAGTGGAATTGCTGGATGATATGATAGTTCTATACTTAATTTTTTGAGGAACCTTCATACTGTTTTCCATAGTGGCTGTACCAGTTGCTATTCCCATCAACAGTGCACAAGGGTTCCCTTTTCTTTACATCCTCACTAACTTGTCTTTTTGATACTAGCCATTCTAACAGGTGTGGGGTGATACCTTACTTTGGTTTTGCTTTGCATTTCTCCAATGATTAGGTTAGTGATTTTTTTTTAAGTAGGCTCCACACTCAATGTGGGGCTTGAACTCACAAACCCTGAGATCAAGAGTCGCATGCTCTACTGACTGAGCCAGCCAGGTATCCCTAAATTAGTGATGCTGAGGATCTTTTCATGTACCTGTTGGCCATCTGCATGTCTTCTTTGAAAAGCCGTCTATTCAGATCCTCTGCCCATTTTTTTTAAAAAAGATTTTATTTATTTATTTGAGAGAGCGAGAGAGAGAGCATGAACGGTGGGGAAGGGCAGAGGGAGAGAAAGAAGCAGGCTCCCTACTGAGCAGGGAGCCCAACACGGAACTCAGTCCCAGGATCCTGGGATCATGACCTGAGCCAAAGGCAGATGCTTAACCGACTGAGCCACTCAGATTGTTTTTTGCTATTGAGTTATATGGATTTTTTAAAATATATTTTGGATATTAGCCTCTTATCAGATACATGATTTACAAATATTTTCTACCCTTCTGTAGGTTGTCTTTTCATTGATGGTTGATGGTTTCCTTTGCTGTGCAGAAGCTTTTTAGTTTGATGTAGTTCTACTTGTTTATTTTTGCTTTTGTTGCCTTTGTTTTTGGTGTCAAATGCAAAAAATTATCACCAAGACTAATGTCAGAGAGCTTACTGCCTATATTTTCTTGGAGTTTTATGGTTTCAGGTCTTAGGTTCAAGTCTTTAATCCATTTTGAGTTAATTTTCGTGTATGGTGTAAGATAGTGGTCCCCAGTTTCATTTTTCTGCATGTGGCTGTCCAATTTTTCCAACACCATTTATTGAAGAGACTGTCCTTTCTTCATTGAATATTCTTAGGTCCTTTGTCATAAATTAATTGGCCATATATGCATGGGTTTATTTCTGAGCTCTGTTTTGTTCCATTGATCTATGTGTCTGTTTTTATGCCAATACCATACTGTTTTGATTACTACAGCTTTGTATGATAGTTTAAAATCAGAGAGCATGATGCCTCCAGCATTGTTCTTTTTTCTCAAGATTGCTCGTGTGTTGTAGTTATTAATTTACAAGTTTTGTACATGTTTTGTTAGATTTATACTTAAGTATTTCATATTTCCAAGTGATTATGAATGATTTTATATTTTTTATTTTGGAGTCCACATTTTCATTGCTAACATAGAAATACAGTGGGTTTTTGTATTGGATCTTGTTTCCCATGACTTTCAATTATTAGTTCTAGGAGATTTTTCATTTTTTGGATATTTTTTTGTGATTTTCTCCGTAGACAATCAGGTCATCTATAAATAGGGACATTTTTATTTTTTCTTCTTTGTTCTGTATACCTTTCATTTCCATTTCTTGCCTTATTGCACATTATTAGAACTTTTAGCACTATGTTGAATAAGGATTGTGAGAATGGACATTCTTGCCTTGCTGTTAATCTTGTCATTCACCATTAAGTATAATGTCAGCTGTAGTTTTGGTTTAGATGCTTTTTATCAAATTGAAGAAGTTCCTGTCTATTCCTATTTCTATTCATATTTTTTGCAGAATGAGTGTTGAGTTTTGTCAACTGTTTTTTTTTTTTTTACATTGGTTGATATGATCATGTGATTTTAAAAATCCTTTTA